TATAGCTCTATGGGGTGTGTGGGGCATGGGGGACCACCCGCTCAGCTGTGCTTGCTGTTTGGGGGGCAGCGCCAAGCGACAGTCAACGTCCATCGGTAGCTCTCATCTTGACTAATACGAATTATAATTTTCAGCTAGTGATTTTATTTAATTTTGTTCATAAATGAATCATGATAATGAATTGTTTATGCTGCGGCAAGCTTCAGTTAATTTTTTCTCTCTTCTGTTTTCTTTAATATTATTTCATGGGAAAAAGAGATTAACATCAGCGTTTATGTTAATGCCTCTTGAAATATCATAAAAAATTACAAATATAATAAATATGATAAATTCGCTGCTTCAACAGCATTTTTGGCGCTGATTCACTTGCAAATATGCAAAGTGTTATCTTGTTTCTCTTCTTCTTTTTTTTTCTCCAAATTGCCAAATTATTGCCGAGTTGGGTTATTGTACTTGAGCAAGTCTTTAATTTCCTTATCGAGAGCAAACATCCTCTTGGCCCTCGCTCACATCGAGTTGAAGGGCGCGACAAAGTTCAAGTTCGTCGCTTGATTTGCAGAGACTAAGAGAGGTTTAAGTGCTTTTTATTTGTGGTAAAAAAAACATTATGAATAATTTAAATAATAAAGTGAATTATTATAATATATATAATAGAAAATTATAATTTATATATTAATTAAAATAGTAATATGTATATATATTTATAATAATAATAATATGTATTATAATAATATCAATTACAATCATTTAAAAAATAAAAACAACATTATAAAATATAAAATTTAATATCCATATAGCAGGAAATGTTCTTTCAGTTGGTCAATTATCCATGATTAAAGTGAAACATTAATTTATTTTCTAATATTTCTACATGTATTATCATAGGTATTTTAAGAAGGCAACGCAACCCCCGCTGATATAACATATGATCATGAATTAAAGCCCAACTGCAAGCGATACTAATAGCTGGCTAGCTGGCACTCCTTGTGCAATGCAATATTCGATTAGAGGCCATCAATTGAACAATTCAATTGAGTGCGAATGTTCCCATGACCAGACGAATTTCCACTTGCAGAGGACCAGCAAAAGCAGCAGCAGCAGCAGCCAAGTGCGTGAGAAAGGAAAACGAAGCGGGAGAAGTGGAAGTGGAAGTGGGAGGGTGGCCTGGCTAGGGCGCAGGCTCAGCAGGAGGATTCATATTGACCAATAAATAAAAGGTAGCGATGCGGGCGCGGATTTCAGTGGATTCGTATTACGGAGAAGGGTCAGTGCAGCAGCAGCAGCAGCAGCAGCAGCAACAAGGGATGATCCTTGATGCATTATTTGTTATTTGAATCACGTGACAAGTTGCTGGCTAAAAAGCGAGGGGGTTGCTGGGAAAGCGGCAGAGAAATCATCCCACGGGATTCAATTTATGCGTGTTTGAATGTTTTTGATTGTGCGTTGCTAATTCAAATAAAATTCAACTTCGACTTTGTTTGTTGTTTTGTCGTTGTTGTTGTTGTTGTTGTTTTTCCTGCGGTAAGCTGAGCTGCAAGCTCCATCCACCCGTTGCTGCTGCCGCTGCCGCTGCTGCTGCTGCTGCTGGTTGCTGTTGTTGTTGTGGTGGTGGTGCAATTTCAGCCTCATTACAAAACATTTGCTTTGTTCGCCGAGCTTAACTTACGCCTTCTGCTGCCAGGAGGGGTCGCATCAATTGCCGTGACAGCTTGCGCCTGTTGGCATTAATAAAGTCACGAAAGGCATTTGCATTTCCGTGCTCAGGGGATTCGTAATTAAACAAATTAAGCAAGTGATTCAAGTGCGCCTTTCTTACTCCCCAGCCGAGCCAGAGATTGAGAGAGAGGGAGAATTTTTAGATATTTTTTCGAGCCTGCAAAATGCTGTAAAAATAGCTGCAAATGTCTGCCTAATTATTACAAATGATCTCATATTTATATTTTATGTTGATTTCAGTTGTCAGCATAGGATTGGATTTTTTGTTTTTATATTTAAGTTTCAGCTATGAAAATACCAGAAATGCCTTTAAAAAATGCTCCGCGTTGGGTCGGAAAAAATGCTGGACCAAATGATACCCAGCAGCGAAGCGAAAAGAATATAATTCAATGGAAATAAATGCAATTACAATTTTAAAATAAAATAAAATGACAATAAATAAATGGAAAAAATTATAATTAATAATTAATTTACTAATAAAAAAACAATAAAAATCTAAACTTATTTTTATTTTTAATTTTATACACTGAATTATTAAATTGAAAATAAGAATTAAAATTTTCACATTGCTAAACTCTATAAATTTAATATAAAAAAATGGAAAATAATTAAAATATTTTTGAAAAGTTATATAAAAAAATAATTTAATTAAATTGAAAATAAAAGGAAATTAAAAATAAAACTAAAGACATTGCATTTAATATTCAAAGTGTAAAATATATGCATATTATCGAACTGCACTATCTGATATATTTCCTCACTCTTTCCATAACAACATCTTCAACAAAGTTCCTCCGTACAGGGTATATAAAAGCGAACCGTAGATATAGAGTCGCTGCACCTGAAGCACCCTCGCCAGATGCAGTAGTCGCTGCTGGGAATTTCGAATAGGTTTGGCATCGGAAAACCATCTAATTGATTTATGGCCAATGGATTGTTGGGCTGACTAAATTTAGAAGCGAGCGAACAACTAAAACAACTAATTTAGTGAGAGATGGGCGCTGTAAAGTTTTGTGTTCTTCGATTTTGTCACGTTCATGGGCATGATATTCTAGCAGTTTCACATCATCCGACTGGCTCTCTCACTTTCTCTCTCTCTCTCTCCCTCGCCCTCGCTGTCGCCCTGCTGTACTGAACGTGTCCGTTTGTTTGTTTTCGTACTGTCGTATCGAGGGGCAGACAGGCGAGAATCTGTCGTCTGGCGGGGCCCTGTCACAATTGACACTGACGACGCGGCAGGTACATGAGACGTGCCGTTAAGTTGTCAGCCAGAGAAAATGGAGCACTGGAGAAATGGAGAGCTGGCAGCGCCACGTTTTGGACACAGCCTCCGCTCATCTAACGAAAGATTAATTGAACGTGCGCCAGCGAGTTATTAATCTTGGCGAGCTTAGCCGGGGCCTACATTGTTTCTAAAATATTGTATGCACTCGTCCCGGTGTCAGCTAATGGGACCGCCACTTGAGCCACGTTCTGCCACTGCTCCTGCTACTGCTACGGCTACGGCTCCTGCTCGTTTTTCTCTCCATTTATATGCATCTATATTTTTTAAGGTCTCCCCCTAATTTGTTTATGGCTACGATAATGCAATTTTTTAGTCATTCCACGTCGAGGGGCACTGCAATAACATAAATATATCGGCTTATCTGGCGGCAGCAATTACCGGGTGAGCCATATTTTGTCACATTTCGTTGTATACGCTGCGATTTCTTCCGCCGGGTGAAAGTTGAGGCGTTCTTATGGATGCACACATAACACCTCAGAGGCTGCACTGCACTTTATGCTGCCTCTAGTTCAGAGGCGACCATAAGCTTTCACTTTAAGAAGGAAATATTCAGTATGCATAAGAATTGATTATTATTAATGCCATTAAATATTAAATTAAACGAGTCTTTTTTTTAGGGATATCAACTTCAAAGGAAAATAAAAAGAATTAGTAAACATTTATTATACATTTCTTAAATCTATGTGAGCTCATTTTCGCTCAGTGTATTAAGAAATATAGCTATCGAAATATTTGTTATCTATAAATTGAGAACTTTTGCTAGTTTATGACTGGCAGCAGCTCGCGACCTGCTTGGGCTTTGTGAATTCTGGGAACGGAACTAGCGTTTGCTTCTCTGCCCCTCTCCACCTCACCCTCCACTCTTCTCCCGTCGCCATGCACACTTTTTATTACGCATTGCGAGAGCACATGCCAAAACTTGCCACAAAAATTGCGCAGCTGCTGCTGTTCTATTTCACAAGGTTGAGCAATTGAGAATATGACGCACACATTGATAGAACAAACAAAGAGCCCTCGCACCCCTTGCCCACCTTGCCTCCCTTGTGTCCAAAAAGTAACGAGTCAGACCTGAAGTTGAGCCGAAGCGCAATCGCAACATCTTGAAAGTGCTCGAGGAAGTAGCAGATAGTCGAGGCACCATCGGCAACAGAACTGAGAGCCGCAACTGGTATGTCACGGGGGAAGTTTTCGATTTCTATGGAACACCTGGACGGCGTTGTGGAAGCGTCTAAGGTGCACAGCTAATGAGCTCGGAGGTAAAGGCGCAAGTTTATGTTTTGACGCAGCAATGTCTGCGCAGCCAATGCCAGAGGGGCAGGGGGTAAATGCTTGTCTTGTGCGTGTGTGTGTGTGTGTGTGTGTGTGTATCATGGTTAAAGAACATAAAATCATATCAGTGCGGTACGGACTCTTCTGTTGCCAAATCCACAATGAACACTTGCGTCATCCGCAGTTCATAAAAATACAAAATACAAATCCATTTGGCTGAGCCCTCGCGCAGGGGTTGCTAGAGGAAGTGCACACCTTGCCCCATTTACATAACATTAGCCGGGGCACATCGCAGCACCTCGATACCAATTTCCAGTTTCCCATCGCAGCCGAGCATGTGACAATTATGCTAAACGCATGCAAATGACAATCGAAACATCATCGCAGTCGTCTTAGCAATGCAATGCAATGCGATCCACTTCCTTGAACCCTTTTTGGCATGTTATGATTCTCTTTAACCGGATGGCGACGGATGGCCGATGACACGCAAGTGTTATCCCAGGCATTTGAGAATTATGCAAATTACCTTTGGGCAACCTGGGCAACGGAAGGAAACGAAAGCGAATCCCGATTAAGAAGATCTTTCCCACAGTTGTCTAGCCTAATGGATCCATTACTGAACACATTATCACACTGATTGATAGTTGGAAGATTCCAGTCCCTCGCATCGAATTGAAATGAACTTGGCAGCTTAGATCAATTTGTCAGTATTGTCAGAAGCTTCATCAGAGAGTATATGTATTATATTGTCAGGTTTTCGGCCCCCAAATTCAAGTAGATTTCACGCATCCTCAAATGCACAACTAGTAGCAAAATGACGCCAAGTTTTTCATCAAGCATGGGCGCGGATTTGCTGGATGTGACAACTCCGCGCCATTCACTGCTATCGGGTCGCTTCAAGCAGAGCTTCGCCTACATCGCCCTGCAGACGCGAATGCCGGGTATCATGTCGCAGATCATCATGACGCTCTTGTCCAATAAGGCGCGACTGCAGCAGATCCATGGCAGTGAGCTCGATAAGGACTTTCATATTATAATTGAATCGATAGAGCGATTGAAGAGGGAACTGCTGCGCGATCGCAACTTTCAGCTGTTCCATGGCAATGAGCCGGACAAGGCCGAGTGGAATGCATTTATCAGCGAGCTGCCACGGCCCAAGCGCTCGTTCTTTCGGGCGAGCTGGCTGCACTCCGAGTGCTATCTGTACAGGCGCATCAGTTCGTTCTTCGAGAATAGCAAGTGCCTGAGGGACTTTGATTACTTTCAGGACCTCAAGCAGGAGGATCTCATAGTCAGTAATAAGGCGATAAGCTGCCTCACCCTAGCCACACGCGGGCTAATGAAGGACTTCAAGTCCTTCAGCCGCCTGATGCGCATCAACTTGTGGAGCAATCACTTTGAGATCCAGCTATCTTCATTCATCTTCGAATCGCCCAAAGATCACAGCAACATCGACGTCCTTGCCCATGTGGCCGATCTGGATCGCCGGGTGCTGGTCGACGAGAGCCTGATGGTCTGGAACTGCCTGCTGAAGGCCAAGGGCGAGAAGGAGGTCATTGTCGACTACATCTGCGACAACGGCGGATTCGAGCTATTCACGGACCTGCTGTTCATCGAGTACTTGGTGGACCAGGAGCTGGCGACCAAGGTGCGGATGCATGTCAAGGCCATACCCTGGTACATATCGGACGTGATGAAGCACGACATTGAGTGGACCATCAAATACTTGAAGGACAGCAAGGAGGAGCATGTCTCCATGCTGGGCAAGAAGCTGGAGTTCCTCATGGAGAGCGAGCGCATCGTCATAGCGCCCATTTCGCATTTCTGGACGGGACCACAATCCTATTTCGTCATGGTCGACTCGAATGTCGAATTGTACAGGATGCTCTCGCAGGCCCAGCTGGCGATCTTCAAGGGAGATCTCAACTACCGCAAGCTGCTCGGCGACTACATCTGGGACTCCACGGAGGAGTTCATCACCTGCCTGCGCGGCTTCCGGCCGACCAATATGTGCGCCATGCGCAATGTCAAGTGCGAGGTGATCTGCGGCCTGCCCGAGGGCACCGCCGATCACTTGATGAGGACCGATCCCACCTGGATGATATCTGGCTACTATGGCGTTATCCAGTACACGGATAGCCTGAAGTGCAAGTGCGAGGTTCAGCATTCTTTGTGCTCGCTGCACAGCAAGGCCATATGATGTAAAGAGTGGACTTGCTTCTGCTCCGATTGCTCAGTAGCAGCTGGTGAGAGGGAGTCGGATGTCTTAATTTGCATTACGCTGCCAGCGAAGAAAACTCACGGTGCTCCTAATAAATGAGCCCAAATTTGTCAGCGCACTTTGCCCAAATCAAACAGCATCGTTACGCCCACCGAGCGAGTCTGCACCGCCTTCAGCTCTGCGTGGCTGCCACCTGCATTTCTCTAGCCAGCGCCTCGTCGATCTCGCCGATCTCGCCTGGCCAGCGGCCCATTGGCCAATTGGCCAATTGGCGAGTGACTAATGCTGTTGGTTTTATTGATGTGGCGCACATGCGCGGCCATTTGTATGCGAGAGGCTGCTGCCGGCGCTGCGACTCCTTCCGGATAACCAATTGGCATTGGAAATGGAAAGTTGTGAAACTCAACATGTGGCGCTGTGGAGATGCCCGAATGGTGGTCAGAGCATGTGTATCGGAGGGTTGTCTAAAAACTGATATACATTCAAGTGAAACGGCTTTCATTTCAGCAAAGAACTGTTTTTAAGCGACGATTTTTCTTAGATGCATTTATGCATAAAATTTTGTAAATTACAGAGTTGTACTGAAAAGAAATTAAGTTATTGAATATGGTATACAATAAATCTATGTATTATTATTATGTTTCGACTTTCACTAAATTTTCCGCTTCATTGGTTATATTTAAATGTCTTGTGCCTTAAGCAAACTAAAATAGTTTCAATTTTATTGTATTTACTCAAGCGACTTGACGTATGTTTGGTTCCCATGCACTATTAATATCGCTTGGCTGGTCAGTTCATTCAAAAAGTGCAACACTCCATTTCCCAGATATTCAGTTGAATAGAGCCGTAGCCGTAGTCGTAGTCGTAGCCGTAGGTGTTCTCTGACTTTGTTCTCTTGCTCAGGGCACGCAGAGTGATTTCTCAGTAACTCGAAACCATATCAAAGTAGTATCAAATCTTTGTCGCAAATGACTTCAAATCAAAGTCTTTTAGTTGATTGCACTTTTATCCAGGAAACCCTCCCAAATGAGCAGCGCACAATGGCCAAAGGAAATCAACTAAATTGAAATTGAAATTGAAATTGGAATAATAAGTGTGCATTCCCACAACTATTAAACTGCCAAAATTGCGAAATCCACATGGGGCCGCAGCGAGTTGGATCGAGAAATTCCAATGCACACACAGCGGCTCTCGGGTACAGTTCGCACATTCCCCTAATGCTCTGTGAAACGAAATGGCAGTGGAACGCGCCTGGAAACGGGCCACGCAAATATTTTCCCACCGATAAATCCACCCCAAAAGTTTCGGCTACTGCGCAGCTGCAAATCAAAACCGAAATAAAGCAATGAAAGCAAAAGCCTCTGCCTCCCTGCAATCACAGCAACTGGCTGCTGTCCACTTGGTTTTGGTTTTATGTTCGGATTGGGGTGGGGTGGTGTGTCGCTCGCTTCCCAGTGCGAATGCGCCCTTGAAAATTCGCACCCGGCTACCTTACGGCCAACTGGTGTACCCGTCCCATTCACCAGCTCACCAGTTCGCAGCCGCCAGGTTGCTCTGGCTGCGGCTGCGGCTGCGGCTGTTGCTGTTGCCGGTGCTTTTGTCTGATGCCGTTGTTGATGGGAGGGTTGCTGCCTCGGCCAGGTGATGATTCTAGCTGCGATTTCCACCACCCATTCAACAGCTTTAAGCGCGCAGGTATGCGCCGTCGGACCAGCTGGCACAACAGGATTCAATCACAATCGACTCTTCTTTAGCTTTGTTTTGCTTTCGATTCGCACGGAATGGAGCTATTACCCATCGCAGTAGCAGTTGCCACCCGGTTGCCAAGCGCGCACTTTTATTTGCCTGCTCGCAAGGTGCGAGTGCTGAACGGCATTTTCGCACACTCACACGGCGGACAATCAATAGAGCTCGCCTCAGTCACAGTGCACCCCAAAATAGTTGACCGGATGCCAAGGCATTACAAGTGTCTGCAATGTTTGCTTTGGAGTAGTCAATAATTATTGGGGCAAAGCAAATGCATCCGCTGTGTGACTCATGCGAACTTGCTGCCAGAGCTGGGCACGGCATAGAAGCGACTTGAAGCCAATGCTTGGTGGATGGGTAAAAGATTCAAGTGACAGTGAAAAACAAAATTTATGACTAGATTTATATTCAAAAAGAGCAGTAAATGGAATTGAATCAAGAGTTTAGAATGGATCAGTGAAGTGGAGTATTAACTACTCTCCTTGGATCTCATGAAGAGATCAATTTAGTATAAATGCTGAAGTCAAGTGAAGGTGTAGCATATAAT